CAGACACTGCCATAAGACTTCTCGATCAACGGAGTCAAATGCCGCCTTCAGGTCGAGAAATACAGCTATTGTCGGGCGTCTGTAAGCATGCCTATGTTCCAGGACCTGGCGCAGTGTGAATATTTGGTCGATACATCCACGGCCAGGTCTAAAGCCTGCCTGGTTTTCTCGGGCTTGCTGTTCCCGAGCTCCACTCAGGCGTCGGAGAATTATAGAACTTAGGATCTTAGACACTATGTTTGTCAGGCTGATTCCTCTGTGGTTATCACAAGAGGACTTCTCGCCTTTCTTGAAGACTGGGATGATGAGTGACTTAGACCAGTCGGAGGGGATCGTATTTGATTCCCATATACTGGCTAACACTTCCGTTAGCCTGACTAAGAGAACTCTACCACCATTCTTGTATACCTCAGCAGGTAGTCCGTCTGGTCCTGCTGCCCTTCCCCGTTTCAGGCTACCTACCGCTTTCTCAACTTCTTCTAGTGTTGGGGGACCTGTCTCTATGTCCCATTCAGGGTCCGACTGGATAGCGGGCAGCGCAATGGTGGCTGGAGGCCAGTTAAACTGTTCCTCAAAGTGTTCTGCCCATCGTCCCAGTCGCCTTCCCTGCGAGTGAATCGCCGATCCGTCCTTCTCCGCTATAACCTCACTAACTGTTGTTGACCATTTCCCCCCAGTCTCCTTAATAAGTCTAAATAACTGTCTACTGTTACCGATCGCCGCTGCCTTTTCCATCTCTTTAGCCTTTGCTGCCCACCACTGTTCACGATCGTTGCGCAGACTTTTCGTCAGTTTATTTTTAAGTTGCGCTCGCTCTTCATTGTACTCAGAGCCTGCAGGGATGCATTCACGTGCATCCATTAGTTTGGAAGAAGCTGCTGATATCCACTGGCTCTTTTTAGCCATTATCTTGGAGTCGGCTACAGTCTCCAGTGCTGCTTTTACAGTAGACTGAAGATGGCACCAAGCTTCTTCTGGATGAGTGACAGTCTTTTGTTCCGATAACTGCCTAGCCAACTTCTCACTGAACACGGCTTTGGTGTTTTCGTTGTCCAGCAGAACTCGTAGTGGTTTTGTTGCCAAATTTTTTCTACGTCCATTGAGACGCAGGCATATACGTGCTCGGACCAACGCATGATCGCTGTCCAAACACGTACTCCAGAAGGAGCGGCAGTCTTCCACCGATCCTCTCCAGCGATGACTAATAGCAATGTGGTCTATCTGTGTCCATCGCTGAGTCGAGCTCGGTGGACGCCAGGTCAGACAGTGCCTTTCTTTATGTCTGAAATTTGTGCTGGCTAAAAATAGGCGGTTATCTGAGCATAGTTGTAATAGGCGATCACCGTTATCTGTACGTTCAGCTGGGATTCCGAAAGTGCCACCTAAGTGCCTTTCTGCCTCACTCAGTCTACCCACCTGTGCGTTGAGGTCACCTGCAACAACCACTACGTCCGAACGTTTGGCTTTCGAGAGGAGGTTAGACAGTTTATGGTAGAACTCGTCCTTCACTTCATCCGAACTACAGTCAGTGGGTGCGTAAGCAGAGATTACAAAGAGACAACGGCGAGTCTCACTATTCCTTTTAGTTCTCACTGTGCCGTTCAGCCTCATAGCGCAGAGGCGACTATCAACTGGGATCCAGTCTAGTAGTGAGTTTTCTGCCCTGGTGCTTAATGCTATACCTACACCTGCAAGACCACGAGAGCTAGCTATCGAATCTCCAGAAACTCGAAGGGTGAATTTTGCAGATTCACCAGATTGGTCAGGAGAGGTCAGGTGAATAACCACACTTGGGTCCTGTATGCGTGTCTCACAAACACAGCACACATCCATGCCCGAGTTGCTAGAGTCTTTGCCAACGAAGCCTGTTGGCCAATTTGACGGAGGGTGCGGACATTGAAGGCTCCAATATGTAATTTGGAGCGTGGTTTAAGGAGACCAGGGATGCTGTTCTGTGGACTCAGATCGTTGTCGAAGGCTGCAGAGGTAGGAGAAATTGAAGATGATGCAGCATCATTAATTAAGAGACGTGAAGGAAGATTAGAAGGTAATGATGGAGGAGGAGGATAGCAGTCAGAAGAAACTTGGGTGCTGACAGAGTTGTGAGGGCGGTTGACACTTCCCGGCTGCCCACACCGTGGAAGGCTATTTCTTCTTAAGGTACCTGAAAGAGATTTGTGTGACCGCAGAGCCCATCGGACATCTGCTTGAGGCCTGTCACACCCAGCCTTTTGAGTATGATTATTTTGAATTTTTTTATTTTTGGGGCCGGATGGTCGAAAGGAAACGACAAGTGAACCAACACCGCCGGCCCGGCAGACCGTGGGGCGTGGTGGAGTGTGTTATTTTTGGGGCCGACCTTTTCTAACCCCCCCTTCCACTGAGAAGGCAGCATCAGCTTGGCACTGCTGGTCATCCAAGGGAAACACCTTACTGCTGTCACACCCCATCCAGCTAGCAGCAGTACGACTTCGCCCTCAGACCCCCATCATAGTGTAGCAATTTACACTATAACGGTAACTGCTTTTCGTCTAACCACTACCCAACAGACCTTTCTGGTATGGTAGGACCTCGAGGGAACAAGCGTTCCACCAGCATAGCTCGTTGGGTCATTGTGATATGCAAGCCCAACCACCACGTCAAGGTAGCGGCTATCGGTCGGGTTGTACCCTTATCTCAGTGAAGCAATTTACACTATTATAGCAACTACTTTTTGTCTTATCACTTTCTAGCCAACCTTTCTGGTGTGGTGTGATCTAGAGGTAACATGCCTTCCATCATCATAGCTGGATGAGTCACTGGGATATCCAAGCCTGACCACCGCAGGAAGTTATCAAATATCGAGTAGAGGGAAAATAAATTAGTTTGGACATTGAATCTGGAAAGCTGTCGGTGAAGCTTTTCAATGCGTTATACAGGGGCAGTAGTGATAAATGCCAGGACATTTTGTCAAATATTCCACACTGGCAGTGGTTTTGCCTCTTAAGCTCTGGAGATCATATTGCTTTTGGCAGTGATGGTTTGATTTTCTCACCAAAGGTATCCAGCTAGCATGTAGTGCCTGTAACCCTATGTTCATTACTAAGGCTGTGACTTCTTCAATAAATGGATTTGAGAGCGACGAGGTCGATAACAGGCTTTCCATTGACGAATGTATACATCATCACTTCCTGGATAGGGTTAAAAAGACTATGGGACCAAGTGTATGGAGGTGTTAATATTGTGTATAGCCGAGAATAGAAACCAGGTACAGACAACATATCGACTGTACGGGGGTTTGAAAAATAGTGAATAAAAGTGGAAGACGAAGACAGAGTACAGTTAATGATCACCGATGCTCATTATCGGATTCGGAAATACCAGACTGTGAATGACCAAAAGAGAAAGATTCAGCGAATGCTCACAGCAGGACATTACAATTTTGGCAACTGCAATCGAAAAGTCAAACAGACGACAAAAAGTTCACATTGGCAGGAGAACCAATCAAAATACATATAGAGACAAGATTTCAGTAGGGAAAATTAGTCGTACCCAAGGTTATCAGGAGAAAGTACTAAACTACACGCGAAGGGAATCCCATAGCTCACTTCTCTCTGAAATGTGTTTTGATGATGGTGTTTGGAATTACAACGAAGGCTTCATGATTAAGCCATCCAGAGAACATAACACCAAAATCCTCCTCCTGAGCTACAAATATTCTCTATCACCTCGGAAACTGATCTCGATTTTAAGGAACCTGTTTTTGTCTTTGTTCTTTGAATGTAGATTAAACAACTAGTCTGGAAATGGACCAATCAAAATTCAATGTGCGCTAAAAATAACGACTATAGTTAGACTGACAGATAACCCATCAATTATGAATGTTCTTCACGCGTCTATTTTCGTTCTTCAGTAACATTGCAATTAGGCCTCCACGCCTTTAGGACCTTGTACGTTTCTGTATATCTTGCTAGATAATTTCGGTCTTCCGTCTGAATACATGTTCTACTCGTCTCATTGTTTCTTCTGCATTAATTAGCCAGGTCGGAAAATCAACTGGGGAGTTGTAGAACATTGATGGCTAACAGTCGATATTCGTGCATCAGTTAGCGGCTATAACAGTTAGTGTTCCAAGACAGTTTACCGACAACAATAAATTACGAAAGTGACAGCGAAGTAATAAACATCTGTATTGAATGTATCTCATGAGACAGCTTCGGTCATTCGGTTTTCTGTTATCTCTCCCTTCTATACCGTCATGATGTCCCACCATTTTGTGTTGTGGTGCATTTCTTGGTGTCCATATTGAACCAAACTTGTGTCGTATATAATGAATAAACAAATTTAATAGTATTATGGCCCCATCTTAAATTTATCAGGTGAGCAGCAGGTGCCAAGTATAATCATTCCTTTTTGTATGCATTGTGCTAAGTGTCATGCATGCACAAACGAAAAAACATGAATATTCCTCTCCATAATTCACGTTACACTTGGATTCTGACAGTCCGACAATGCAGACTACTACTATTACTACCACTACCGAGACTGAGTAGAAAGTCATTTGTGGATGAATAATTTTGATCAGATTAAGGCGGAAAGAGTAAGTTGTTTGTCAATTGCTTTGTCGATTTTAGTCAAGTGTTGTATAGGGTAGTGTTTATAAATTTAGATTGTGTATGAGTGTTTGTCACCTTGGCTCAAATTAGTGTCTATTGCGTGTCTTAATTATCCTCCATGTAGATTCTGGGGCTAAGTTATTTGTCGGTGTGACTAGACAGCATACTGAGAAGACTTCACTGGAATCGTCGATAAAATCACTCAAAACTCGGTGTTCGTCTGGTGAAATTATTCCGACCGTAACAATGACCTTATTGAGTGGAGCCTCTTCTACGCCTTTAGTATGCAGTCGTTCAAACATGATTCTTGCACGAGACTCTGATCCAGGTTGTATTGACCAGTCAATAGATAATCACTTAACATCAAATGCCCCTCGTCTACTTGTCTCTCAATTGACGAATCAGGATTAATTATTGAAGAGAGTGATTTGGTCACGACAATCTCAATGAAAAAGAGGTATGTGATTAACTATATCTAAGTAACTCTCTATCTCTCTGTTCAAAGTTTTTTGTATATCTTGACTACTGTACCACGAAGACTTGAGAGTTGTCCCCTCCTAACTATCAGCTTCAAAGAAACTGGTGTCAGTAGACTGGTCTGCGGAGTACGTGATGCTGTGAATTTTCCACCAGGAAATTTAAAACCCAAATGACCAAATAATTACTTAAAAAATGAACCAAACCCTAAGTTACGCGTAAAATCCAAAACAGGATTTATCTGCTGTTCGGTACTGTATTAATAAACTGCAATGACTAATGATTTGGAAACGTCGAACGCTTGAGGTGTCTGTAGGCCAACAGAAGCATCGTACAGGAAGTGCGTCAACAATATGAGCGCCAAAGCTGAGTCTAAAGCAAACTACAGGAAGGTACCAAAATGTCACGAAAAGAACGTAGTATAAACAAACGTTCAAGGGTAGATATAGCATCGCATCAGAGAAATAACCGAAGGGTGCACAATCATACCTGCTTGAACTCTGGGCTACCGTTTTCTATCATCGAGTATATTGCATCAAATTTCTTATTTCTATATTGTTTTAATCGTTTAATTATGTCAACCAATCGTATTGTATATTCTCGCGCGTTTTTAAAATCATTACAACCTATCGCTTCGCAAGTTGATAGGAAATTTAAGAAGAAGCACCACGGTGGATGGCAACGAGCTATGGAGCGCATGACTTTTTTTTTTTTTTTTATTCCGGAAATACTTAGCACAAACTGCAGGTCGTTGCCGAATAAAGTTGATTACCTTCAGTCACTCTTGTCCACAAATGTTTATCGAAACACGGGTGTAATAATGCTGCAGGAAACATGGCTTCATAATCTGTATGATGATGACTTAGTCTGCTTAGATGGTTTCAAATTATTTCGACAAGATCGAAGCTTTTCGAAGAAGAAATGTGGTGGTGGTGTAGCAACATTTATTAGTACTAACTGGTCGTCCTCCAACTATGTATGCTTCTGCTTCTCTAACGAAAAAATTGAGTGCATTACCATCAAATGTCGTCCCAAACATTTGAGCAAATACAAATACATATATATCACAAACATGTATGTCACACCTGACTGCAGTTTCTCAGATTTGTCAACTTTTGCTGATAAATTCACTGAATTTGCTGCTCCGGTTCTGGGAAACTCCTTGTCTATTGTCTGTGGTGATTTTAACTCATGTGACTACAGTTTTCTATTATCATTGGGTCATAAAAATATGGTTAACTTTTCCACTCGTCTTGACAACACCTTAGACTTTGCATTTACAAATGAACCTGGCATATATGAAGCCCGTAAACGGGCTCCACTGCTTAATTCCGACCACTGTATCGTTCGTGTTTTGCCTAAAGTGTACGGAAAATTATACAAGAAAGCTTTTGCATACCTTTCAAGGAAAGTTCAATACAGATGCTATTCACAAGAAAATATATTACGTTTGAGAAGCATGCTTATAGAAACGGACTGGGATATATTTGCTGATGAAGTTTTAGACAACACTATTACCAATATCACAAGCTATCTCAGATTCTGTCTCGATATCTGCTGCCCTACTGAAACAATTTACATGAGATTTGACAGACTTTCCTCTCCTCATCTCAAGAGGCTTCGGAGAGAAAAGGAAAGGTTGTATAAGGCGAGAGATCACCCTGGCGTTAAAAGGCTTAACTGCCTAATTAAGTCTGAAATACAACGTCTGAATACTATATACAACGAGAAGTTCTTATCGTGTAAGAACTCTTCCAATATATGGAAATTATTTAAAGAGCTTACTGGTAAAAAACAGATGACAACACAAACTCGTTCGGATGTCTGCGCGTTAAACAAGTCATTTATACGTCGGCAAGCTAATTTCACCCTTCCTAATGTGCAAAATCAAGTGGATAGCTGCTTTCCAGGTTTCAATACAAATGATGTATTTAAATGTCTAAAGTCTTTGAATCCCTCCCAAAGCTTAGGTCCTGATGGTGTTTCTAGTATCATATTTAGAAAATGTGCAGATATTTTGTGTCATCCACTTACAGATATCTTCAATGTATCGTTCTCTAAAAACATAATACCCACTGCTTGGAAGCAGATAAAAATTGTACCTGTGCCTAAGCCATCTTCTGGATCAGATGTTACTTTTCGACCCATCGCTATAACTTCCCCTTTTCTGAAGACAATGGAGAAATTACTTCTGCTTGTGATTGAGCCTTCATTGATGGCCTTCAGAGATCCAAAACAGTTTGCTTACAAACACCGGAGGAGTACTTTAGATGCAGCTACTGTCTTGCATCATAATATTGTTTCTAGTCTCGACAAAGGTGTTAAGTATGTCCGTTGTGCCTTTTTGGATTACTCATCAGCCTTTGACTCTGTTCCTAGACCACTTTTGTTAAATAAGCTTGCCATAGCTCACACTGAGCCATGGGTTACAAAATGGCTGCATTCTTATTTTTCTGAAAGGAAACAGTACACTATTCATAAAGGATGCGCTCCACTTCATTGCTTACTGAAGCTGGTGTGCCTCAAGGTGCTGTACTTTCTCCTTTTCTGTTCTCCTTTTTTTGCACGATTTGCCTTATTCTGTTGAAACTAATTTTATCAAGTATGCTGACGACCTGACGATTTCTATTCCAGTAAACTCTTCTTTGGATTGCTCGAAATTAAATGAATTCTTGTCTGAAGTTGGTAAATGGTCTCTCTCAAATGGTCTCAAACTAAACCCCTCTAAATGTCAGACCGTTAATTTTAGCCTCAGGCGTAAACAAGACTTATGTGAGCTGCTTAAATCTCATGGCACCTGCTGCATCAATGGTATTTCTGCAGAAAGTAAATCGAGTGTGAACTATCTTGGGTTGGGTTTTACTTCTGACCTTTTTTGGTCGTCCCATATTTTATTGACTTGTAAAAAAATCTTTCGTTTAACTTATTACGTAAAGAAATTGAGGCTTTCTGGTATAACTCAACTGCTTCTTTTACAATTTATTAATTCCTGCATTTTACCTATTCTTCTCTGTTGTTCCCCATTAATCTTTCCTGGTCTTCTTAAAAAGGACTATGTTATGTTGCGTAGGGCTTTGAAGACCGTCAGCAGGGTGAGTGGTGTGTCTCTGGCTCAACTGATTAACACTGTAGTTGATAGACATATAAATTCCTGCAAGCTACTAGCTACAGAAATTTTAACTGACAGTGAGCATCCAATTCATTCACAGCTCTCTCCATGTATCTCCTCAGCGAGGACAAGAAGAAACTATATAAGACTGTATGCTCGTACAGCTAAGTACAAGAATTCGACTGTACATTACCTAGCATGCATATTATATCAGGATAAAATTGTTAGAACAGAAATCACACATCAACTTTGTGACAGTTAAAAATCTCATTTTAATAATTTAACTTACAATGCAAAATTTCCTCGTTTTTAATATTTTTTACATTATTTAAATGTTTATAATAAAACAATTCAAAAGGCTGCAAAGGAGTATGTATATACTTATATTTTGTTGTTATTGCAATATATATTACTCTGAGAATTCCAAATTGTACAACAAGTTGTTTGGAATAAAGTGAATCATTGTTATTACTATCATTATTATTATTATTACACGGCTGTGTGAGTTTGATTGGTGAGGTCTGACTAGAGTTACATACTTGCTCTGTTATTGCTTTGTAGTCATTAGCCTACCTGGATTTTTCGAGCCTGCTGTTCTCGAACTCGAGTTAGATCTTGGAGGCTATGGGACCTAACATCTCGAACGTAAAGATAATCAAATATTCTTTTATGGTTATGGCGAGAGAACTACTCTTCATTCTTGTAGACTGAGACAAACACGTGTATAATCCAGTCTGAGGAGACCACCTCGGAACCCCATATGTGCTAACCAGCGCTTGCGTTACTGAGTACTTTCCAACCTCGTTCTCTGGAACGTTCGGTGGCAAAATGTCAGATCATACCTGTTTCATCGTTTTACGTTTGGAAGAGCCTTGTTATACTTTTTGCTTTTGCTACCATGCACTGCTTGAGTTCATTATAAAAAGTTATATTCAACCTTCATTTGAGCTGCTTTCGTTCTTCATTGGAGTTGGAACCAGTCGGAATGCGTCTTCTTCTAGTCATAAATTTGCCTGACATTGTCTAAATCGAATAAATTTTTTAACCTTCTGGTGTAGGTTATCGCTGTTTCTACAGCAGACTTAGTATCGTGTCAGGTTTTTTCGAGACGAGGACTGCTGTCACGTTCAAATGAATGCTCTACTCTCTCCATCTTGATTTTAATAGGAATTCTCAACTTCCGATGCAGCACACCACCTGTTTCTCTCTTGATGCTCGAAGTTAGTGTTGGCCAGAAACAAGTGATTGATAGAATCAAATTGCAACAGACAATCACTCATTGTCGGTTCTTTGAATTACGACCTGGTAAATACTTCAAAATCCCTTTCCAACTGGCTTAATTTCCTTACTTGAGCGTTAAAATCACCTGTCACTCTATTATGACTGTGACTGTTACTACATCTGAATGTTTCGTTTTCTGTAGCGAAATTGCAAACTTCTGACAGAATTCATCCTTTGCATCAGCCCAAGTGAAGTCAGTCGGTGGGTGCGAAGACGGAGATTACGAACAGACGTCGATCTTTCTTATTTCTTTCAGTTCCCTTCAGTTGGACAGCACACAGATGGCTGTTGACGTGTATCCATTCAAGTTGTTGTTAGTTTTCTACTGATTAACTCAATGCGGTACCTACACGAGCGAGTGTACGAGAGCTAGCCGGTGAGCCTCCAAACACTCGCAAAGTTAAGATTCACTCAATTGGTAAGGTGAGGTAATATGAATAATCACACTCGAGTTCCATACAAGTTTCTCAGAAGCAGAGCACACATTTATGATTGAAGGCTAAAAAGTTCTGGCAAGTGATGTGAGTTGTCCGATTTAGCTTGGTATTCGAGTGTTGTAAGCTGCACTGTGAATTAGTTGCAAGCTGAAATTAGGGTTATACAAGGCTAACGGAATTCGCCATTTTCTTTTTGCCATCAATAACTTCGTCAAGACTGTAGTGAAGGAAATGCTGTTATCACTTGGTGTGGTGGTGAACCTTGGAAGCTATCAGAAGGTTTGTGTACCTGGGTGGTTGTTCGAGTGTTGTTGGATGTATGGCTGATGACATTCACAACCATATATCAAAAACCAGAGTGGCATATGCCAATCCGGTCAATTTTTACACTCTCATGGTGTCACTTTAAACTGCTGGACATACAACTCCTTGTTGCGATTACTTCTGCTCTATGCTTGTGAAACCTCGCCTTTCCGAACTGATGAAAGCAGATTATTCTCATTCTCACTTGCTGTTTTGATGAAATTCTAACTCCTTTTATCGCTTTCTTCTCTACCTATTAATCAACCATTGTAGTACATTGTGGCTTGATGTGCTGGTATTATGTGTGGCAACATGGTGTGATATGCAGTGATGCCAGGGTCTCTGTTTATGTTATCTCTTTGTCTGACTAGTGTTGTCCCCAAAGGATTGCTAGAATATATGGTGGAAATATTATCTTAGGGATTATGAGGTGATGCGATATGTGTTCGAGGATGATCTATCGTATGTCTTCGACAGCTGCTTCACTGACTGACTGACTGACTACTGTTTTAAGATTAAAATAACATCGAGTTACTTAACTTACAGGCTGTAATTTTTCATCTCGGTGATTATTTTCGTTCTATCCAAGTGTTAATTTATAGTTTATTGTTTGCTTGTTTATTTTTCTAGCATAGATGAAGCTACTGCCAGTAACAATAATATTTCTTCGAAGGACATATCACATTTGCATGATACACACAACAATATGGTTGAACACCCTCGACCGAACTCTAGCTGTAAATCATATGTGATGCTTCATGTTGATGAGTCACTTATGAACAGTGACGATGTGAACATGAAAAACAGTAACCCCGATTGCTCCAGCAAATCACAAATAGCCGGTCGTAGCCGTCTTAGAAAAAGTGATATCCAAGTATGTTTGCTCACGAATGTTAATATTGTTGCAAATTTATCCAGACCTCGATTGTGTAATAGTGCACCAAAGAGTGGCCAATATCATCCTATTCGATTCAAGATACTGACCGAACTCTATCTGATCTAGTCTACACTATGTTCACAATAGGCTAAGAGACTGGCCAAATGTGACTCACTTGATAAGAATGCTGTGAGCATCTTAAATTCTGTTCAGTGTTTGCTTCCTAACAGATTGATGAAGAGGCTGAGTCATACCCACTGATCTGTGTCGTCAACTAATGGAGTTACTGCTGCCTGTCTAGTTGCTCCAGAAATTGGTTGTTACTGCTAGTTTTAAATCCGTGGTTCTTTATTTTCTTGTCGAAATCATCCACCATTAAGAATTATAATTCATATGTGTAAGATAGCTTCTTCGATGCATTTGTGGTGTAGGTGTATTTCCAAATTTAATTCCATATATGTACTGCCAGGTTTACTTATTGTGGTTATCTGTAAGTTTAGTACTGCATAACTTTCTATGGCATCCCTCAAAACGACTGCAACGTCTCAGATGCGTCGACCAACATGTTCTTACGCGACACAAATTTACTACAATTCATCCATCGACAACTTCAACGGATGCGAAAGCAAAATAAGAACACAAGTATTCAGTGAGAGCTTTGAGAGTTGTGTCCACGTGAAGCAGTTGGTTGGTGATGAAATAGCTAATAGACTACCTAGCTGGGGCTATCAACACGATGCCATCATTATCATGAAGATCAGCATAGAAACAGACATTACTGCGTAACGGTCCAACTTGCCCATCTCATATCAGCACATCAAGTAAGAAGGTAATAAAATGGAAGATGAAGAAGAAAAGAAGAAGTAGAAAGTACTAAAAGATAAGAAGCAAGAATGAGAAAATGGTGAGATTAAGTATAACGGTTAGGATGAGTATAATGTGTGTATTCATCTGCGCCACTGACATCGGTTCTGGGCCATATCACCTAGAGTCTCCAACCACTGGTTTCTCTTGTCCCGTGGACTCCAACCACCTAGTCTGTATCGCCCCACATAGCTCACAGGAACAGTCAAAGACTACATACATTGATGTCATGTTTTAATCTGGCCGTTCCGAGCCTTTTTCCAACCTGAATCTGCTTCATCTGCAACATTGTGTGACGAGCGAGGCAGACGGTGGCTAGGCATACCTAACACTTATCCCAGCCATCTCAGTCGATGAGAGTTCACAACTGACTCACCTCTCCTCTAATACTCTACATTTTACTTCTGCGTATGCTATGAAGGCAACGATGACCAGATATCTGAAACCTTTTCATCTCTTCATCCTTTAATGGACATGTTTCATAGGCATGGAGTAGAACAGAACGGACTGCAACACAGTACACTCCACCTTCAATAAACCACCGGAAATCGCGGTGGCGCCACAGATGGTGTAAGTTGGCAAATGCCAACCGAACCTTTTGTTTCCGAGCAGAGATTTCGTGTGCCACTGACCAGTGGACCAGGGCTGATCCTACATTGTAGGCTAGTGAAGTCTTCAACCACTTCACTGTATTTTTATTCGGGGTACCATTGAAGACCAGTTGTGGAGCAAGAATTTGCATTTGGGTGGTGAGAAATGCATGCCAAACATTCTCAAATCGCCACTCAAAGTGTCCAGAAGAGTCTGCATGTTGTCGATGTCTTGGCCTAACAGGACTGTGTCATCTGCGTATTGTAGGTCAACCGAAAATTCTCCTGTGATTAGGTAGATTCTTGTGTAGTCAGATGACAAGAGGGCGACCTGCATGAGAACATCGATGATAAAATTGAATAAGAATGAAGAGAGTGGGCGTGGTTGACGTACACAGCGGACTGTTATGTCATCATAGGTTTCAACACGTGCACAGGTGTTCGAGTAAAGAGGCTTCAATAAGGTGACGTGCTAACTTGGTATCGGTTTCAGTGAGAGATATTTGCATAAGACTTCTCGGTTGGTGGAGTTGAATACTGCCTTGTTCAGGTCTAGAAATACAGCTACCGTTGGACGTTGGTGTGCTTCCCAAAACCTGGTGGAGTGTGAATATTTGGTCGATACACCCACGACCATGTCTGAAGTCTTGTTTCCTGGCTTTCTCGTGTTTGCTGATCCTGATCTCCACTCAGCTGTCTGAGTCTGAGGATTATAGAACCTAGGATCTTGAACACTATGTTCGTCATGCTTATTCCTCTGTGGTTATCACAAGAAGATTTGTGACCTTTGTTTGAGAGTGGTGTAATCAGTGGTTGAGACCAATGAGAGGGGATTGTATTTGACTGATAACACTCGACCACTGTCCTTATGCACGTCAGGGACTAGCCCATCTGGATCTGCTGTCCTTCCTCATTTCAAGTCATCTGCCACTTTTCCGAGTTCTGGAAGTGTTGATGTGCCAATCTGAATGTTATATCCAGGAACCGACTGGTTAGCACGCAACGGAATAGCAGCAGCTGGAGGCCAGTTAAAGTATTACTCGAAACCTTCTAATCGTTGCTCCAGTCTTTTCCCCTGCGAGTGAATCGCATACCCGTTCTCCACTATAGTCTCACTAACCGTTGTTGACCTTTTCCTCCAAGTTTCCTGAATAAATCTAAATAGTTGTCTGCTGTTACCAATTGCCGCTGCCTTTTCCATCTCTTTGGCTTTGGCTGCCCACCACTGTTCGCGGTCACTGCGTATACGTTTTGTCAATATGCTTCTAAGTTGGGTCGAGTCAGCATGGATGCGTTCACGTGGATGCAATAATTCAGAAAAACCTGCTGATACCCGCTGGCTCTTTTTAGCTACCCTTTCGGAGTTGGCTACGGTCTCCAGTGCTGCTTTTACTGCAGACTGGAGGTGGCACCAAGCTTCTGGATGAGTGATAGTGTTCTGTTTGGATAAATGCCTAGGGACTTTCTGACTGAAGGAGTCTTTGATGTTTTCGTTATCGAGCTGCACTCGTGATCCCGACCGATAGCTGCTACCTTGACGTGGTGGTCGGGCTTGCATATCACAATGACCCAACGAGCTATGCTGGTGGAACGCTTGTTCCCTCGAGGTCCTACCATACCAGAAAGGTCTGTTGGGTAGTGGTTAGACGAAAAGCAGTTACCGTAGTAGTGTAAATTGCTACACTATGATGGGGGTCTGAGGGCGAAGTCGTACTGCTGCTAGCTGGATGGGGTGTGACAGCAGTAAGGTGTTTCCCTTGGATGACCAGCAGTGCCAAGCTGATGCTGCCTTCTCAGTGGAAGGGGGGGTTAGAAAAGGTCGGCCCCAAAAATAACACACTCCACCACGCCCCACGGTCTGCCGGGCCGGCGGTGTTGGTTCACTTGTCGTTTCCTTTCGACCATCCGGCCCCAAAAATAAAAAATTCAAAATAATCATACTCAAAAGGCTGGGTGTGACAGGCCTCAAGCAGATGTCCGATGGGCTCTGCGGTCACACAAATCTCTTTCAGGTACCTTAAGAAGAAATAGCCTTCCACGGTGTGGGCAGCCGGGAAGTGTCAACCGCCCTCACAACTCTGTCAGCACCCAAGTTTCTTCTGACTGCTATCCTCCTCCTCCATCATTACCTTCTAATCTTCCTTCACGTCTCTTAATTAATGATGCTGCATCATCTTCAATTTCTCCTACCTCTGCAGCCTTCGACAACGATCTGAGTCCACAGAACAGCATCCCTGGTCTCCTTAAACCACGCTCCAAATTACATATTGGAGCCTTCAATGTCCGCACCCTCCGTCAAATTGGCCAACAGGCTTCGTTGGCAAAGACTCTAGCAACTCGGGCATGGATGTGTGCTGTGTTTGTGAGACACGCATACAGGACCCAAGTGTGGTTATTCACCTGACCTCTCCTGACCAATCTGGTGAATCTGCAAAATTCACCCTTCGAGTTTCTGGAGATTCGATAGCTAGCTCTCGTGGTCTTGCAGGTGTAGGTATAGCATTAAGCACCAGGGCAGAAAACTCACTACTAGACTGGATCCCAGTTGATAGTCGCCTCTGCGCTATGAGGCTGAACGGCACAGTGAGAACTAAAAGGAATAGTGAGACTCGCCGTTGTCTCTTTGTAATCTCTGCTTACGCACCCACTGACTGTAGTTCGGATGAAGTGAAGGACGAGTTCTACCATAAACTGTCTAACCTCCTCTCGAAAGCCAAACGTTCGGACGTAGTGGTTGTTGCAGGTGACCTCAACGCACAGGTGGGTAGACTGAGTGAGGCAGAAAGGCACTTAGGTGGCACTTTCGGAATCCCAGCTGAACGTACAGATAACGGTGATCGCCTATTACAACTATGCTCAGATAACCGCCTATTTTTAGCCAGCACAAATTTCAGACATAAAGAAAGGCACTGTCTGACCTGGCGTCCACCGAGCTCGACTCAGCGATGGACACAGATAGACCACATTGCTATTAGTCATCGCTGGAGAGGATCGGTGGAAGACTGCCGCTCCTTCTGGAGTACGTGTTTGGACAGCGATCATGCGTTGGTCCGAGCACGTATATGCCTGCGTCTCAATGGACGTAGAAAAAATTTGGCAACAAAACCACTACGAGTTCTGCTGGACAACGAAAACACCAAAGCCGTGTTCAGTGAGAAGTTGGCTAGGCAGTTATCGGAACAAAAGACTGTCACTCATCCAGAAGAAGCTTGGTGCCATCTTCAGTCTACTGTAAAAGCAGCACTGGAGACTGTAGCCGACTCCAAGATAATGGCTAAAAAGAGCCAGTGGATATCAGCAGCTTCTTCCAAACTAATGGATGCACGTGAATGCATCCCTGCAGGCTCTGAGTACAATGAAGAGCGAGCGCAACTTAAAAATAAACTGACGAAAAGTCTGCGCAACGATCGTGAACAGTGGTGGGCAGCAAAGGCTAAAGAGATGGAAAAGGCAGCGGCGATCGGTAACAGTAGACAGTTATTTAGACTTATTAAGGAGACTGGGAGGAAATGGTCAACAACAGTTAGTGAGGTTATAGCGGAG